AGGTTGTCGGTTGTTCTAGAGTGAAAATTCTAGTTATGTTCCAGGGTTCTATAATTCAAAACGATGCTATCCTCGGTGTGTATCTAGAAATAGCGCTTCCTTGTAAGGGGAGGATTCAAGGGTCCTTCACAGAAGTTTTAAAATTTTATTTATTTCATCGAGTATTTATAAAAATGTTTATATAACTTATTTTTAAAAATACAGAATACATTCAAAATTTTAGAATTCAACTCTTGCGGAAAAATGTAAATTTTATTTATTTCATCGAGTATTTATAAAAATGTTTATATAACTTATTTTTAAAAATACAGAATACATTCAAAATTTTAGAATTCAACTCTTGCGGAAAAATGTTGTTTTATGCTCAAAATTGCAAACTCGCCAAAACAACCCGAGTCTCCTCGGGTCAAATTATGCACAATGAAATTTCCGTTCGTTTATGAGTAGATGATTGTTTCTGTGTGCTGAATCTTTTAATGGTTCTAGAATAATATTGCGTATCAGAGGAACAGGAATTTTTTTGTATCCTGGCTCCACTCATCCGCCTTTCTATTTTTTTTTATACGTAAGGCCGATTTGATGCAGGTAGATTATCAGTTATTCTTGTGAGCGGAACGATTGAGTCGGACTGATTTTGATGATCAAACGCGTCATTTTTAAAAGCTACACAGAAAAAAATAAATGGTGCTGACGACAGAACCCTCTGTTCACAGAGCTCCTGCAGTTTTTTTGTTACACTAACAGAATTATTCTGTTCTCACAACAGAAAATGTCTGTAAGTGTGACAAAGAAACTGCAGGAGCCCTGTGAACAGAAGGTTCTGTCGTCAGCACCATCTATTTTTTCTGTGTACTCACGGGGACATATTTGTCGTATTCTGCATGGAATTTTGATCGGGGAACTTTTTTTTAGGATCCTTCAATAAGTCTAGTAATCCACTCGTGTCCATGCACTACATTCAACCGAGACGCTACCGGAGAGAAATCCGACAACGCATACTTTTTGTGACTCACATTTCACATTTAAGACAGACGCAGACAGGCGACACTGAACGAAAACCTTCTCGAGTGAAAATAAGTTGGTTGGCAGAACACTACTCTGAGTATTCAAGCTCCTTGAATTTTTCCTGACTGAGAAGGAGGTGCACTTGAAAGTGAGAAGTGTAAAAGAAAAGAGCTAATCTGAACCAGAAGACAATGCCGCGAGCTGAGTTTTGAAATGTTGTTTGGAACTGAGCCTTTCACCGTCATAATTTTGACGGCTGGAGATTGTTCATTGGGATCAAACACAAAAATGAAAAATAATAGCTGCTCCTCAATAGAAAAATTCAGTACTTTTTCAGTACCTCCATTTGCACAGAAAAAAATAAATGGTGCTGACGACAGAACCTTCTGTTCACAGGGCTCCTGCAGTTTCTTCGTTACACTCACAGCATTTTTCTGTTGTGAAGACAGGACTTCGGTCGTGGGAACAGAGTACTCTGTCCTCATAACGGAAGCTTCTATGACTGTTACAAAAGAAGTGCAGGAGCCCTGTGAACAGAACTATTTTTTTCAGTGTGACGAGATTCGAAAAATTTAAAAAATTTGAATTTCTCGCTCAAATTGAGACAAAATGACCAAATAATGAAAAAAATTCCGGACCTTCTGCGGAATTTCCGCACTTTTTCAGTATTTCCGGACCTCCCTTAAAAATCGGTACTATTTCCGGAAATTCCGGACTTGTAGACACCCTTTCGTTCAACTTCATGGAATGAACATTTTTGCTGTGTACTTCAAATGGGGAAAATTCCCATCCAATAGAGTCGGAGAAAAAGTTGGATGAAAAATAATTGAACCGTGTGAATTGGGCTTCGGGTTGTCCTGTCTAGAACCGTGGAATTTTTGTCATCATTTTCGTTTTCCCGGGGAGCCTGAAAAGTTGACTCCTACGTGGCAGAAATGGACTGGTTTATGAGGATAGGAGTTGTTCGCGTGTTCAAACGTTTGCTTGCACTTGCTCAAGACTTTCTCATTAGCTAAAGTAAAAAGCGGGATTTTTTAGCAGCGGCCCGTCGAGAATATCGACGGGATGACGGTGAAATCCCGCGGGATGGGCGTTATTATGAATATAGAGCCGTAGACACGAGGATCCGAATGGTATTTTTGAGTGTTATTTCGCATCGCGCGCCGAGTTTCGCGCTTGCCGAGCAGAAAAATGCCGATATTATTTCTTCCTTTTATTGCTCGTTCCGGCGCAATATCCGCCTTCCACGATCCAGATCCAAATACCATATTTTTTTATTCATTTTCGAGAGCTGATGCGAATTTTAGTCGTGGGTGGGATACGGCCACTTTATGGTGTTTCCTGAATCATCGGCCGTGCTTTTAATTTTTCATGCAGGATCGACATGAAGAACGAATGTGAATCATGAGGAATTTCCTCTAAATTCGCGTTTATATTCATCGGACACTTTCGAATAATCATCGTTCTGCCTGAGGCGCTGTCTAAATTTTTTACAGATTAAAAATCGTTGACTTTAGGGTAATGTAGCATCGCGTCCATGATATTGGACTCCATCATCACCTATATACCATTCGATTGCTCATCACGTCCAAGATCTTGGACTCCATGAGAGATAATTTTTTAGAAAAATCAAAGTGAGCATAGCGTCCAAAATTGTGGGATGCAGGTATTCTCTGACAACACACGAGCATATGGTCCAAAAATTGAATATGACAATTTTTGTAAAATAAAGACGAAAAAACGTATTTTCGTGAAATATTGTGCATTGGTTAGGTCAGGTTTGGTTAAGTTAAGTTAGGTTAGGTTAGGTTAGGTTAGGTTAGGTTAGTTCAAGTTAGATTAGATAAGAGAGGTATACGACTTTCTATCATGATGAACTTTAAAAGTAAGAAAGGTCTACTTGCTATTGGACTCCATGCTCAAGCAAAGAAGTGAGAGGTTTAGCGATGAGCATGGAGTCCAAGATCTTGGACGAGATGAGCAGGTAAGTATATGAAGGGGAAGGGTGAGCATGGAGTCCAATATCATGGACGCGATGCTACATAATCGAATTTTGAGTGAAACTTCTTATAAGTTAACCACAAGGGAAGCTCAACATTCATCCAGTGGGCTGATTGTTGAAATTAATAGACAAAGCCATAGACAAAGGAGACAAAAGGGATATAGAGGGATCCTATGGATGGAAGCAGATGGTTGCCATGGACAAAGAGGGTAGATAAAAGACTAACTGACGGCATGAGAGACCCTTTAGTTGACATTTTCTCCCTTAGTCTGTAAGAGCCACCCATTTCAACCAATAAGATAGCTCTTTTCTTTTTCTATCGCTTTGTCTATCGCTTTCAACAATCAGCCTGCAGGCTAATCATTGAGACTGATAAATGAGGACAAAGAGAAACGGAGGGATCATATCGGTTGAGACGGGTGGTTGTTACAGATTAAGGGGGAAAACGATAGACTAACTATGGGGTCTCTCGTGGGTTGTCGTTAGTTACTCAATTACTTACCTACTTTGTCTATTGCAACCACACCCGCTTCCATCAATAGGATCGCTCGATTTTCTATTTGTCTTTTTTGTCTATATCTATGTCTAACAATTTCAGTAAGTCCACGTGAAACAAATTTGTACAATGCAATTTCACACCCCCGTCTGGCGAATTAATCGACTTAACGACTGAATGTCTTCTTCGTCTACCGCACTGTCTGGCAATTTCAATTAGCCCGCAGGGCACGAATTTGTGGGATTAGAATGGAACTCCCCCTCCCTCCCCCATCTAGAAAAATAATCGACTAGCTTCAACTGATCCTTCGTGACAATAGAAAGAATTTTCCGGCTAGATCTTAAAATTCAATTTTTCAACGTAACCCGTCTAAAATTGCGTTATTGATTTGCCCTCGGTGGACCAGGGTCCTTTATCCCGCGCACGGTCACTTTCATGGGATGAAATGGACGTATTTCTGCCGAACGAAACTATATACATTAAGACATGAGCCCTGAGACCCACAAGAATATATGCATGACAGGGCTCAGGTTATAGTGCACATAGTTCCGTTTGGCAGAAATACGTCCAAATATGATGTAAAAGCGCAAGAGCAATATTATATTGATTTCTTTCTTCTTTTTTTAATATAAGAATTGAGAGGAAATCTTTTAAGTTCTTTTATGTTATTTCAATTGGAAACATTACATCCATTTAAGTTAAAAGTGGATTGGAAACTCTTAAGGAGAATTTCAATGAGATAATCGTAAGCTATCGTAAAACATTCAAAAGGATCTAGGAGAGCCGCACGGTTGAACTGCTGACACAAGGAGCCTCGCTTCGCATGAATTTAGTCATAGCAGAGTAGCGGCAAAGCAGGCCCCTTGATGCAACTATTCGAACCTGTACAACATGCGAGGAAGTATCATCTGATTTGAAGGCGTTTTAAATTCCAAGCGCCGCGCCGTTTCAAAGATCGAACAAACTTGAATGCGCTACCTCGTGAGCGGCGGTAAACTGCGGTATCATTCCTAGAGTTCAAAATTAGGGAAAGTGTTGTCATCTAAATTATTTTACAACACACAAGCTGACGCCGTTTTCTGATTGGCCCGCGAATCTTGGGCTTTCGTCCGGCTTTTGAATAAATAGAACGGCGACAAAGGTCATGGACGTGATAAGAATCCTTAAATTTCTCACTCCTACGGTATGTTTCGAAAAAAATTTAATATGAATATTTCTGCAGATTTACACATTTGCCATTAAATACAAAAACCTCTGGCTACGCAAGCGGGGCCGTTCAAAAAGTACATGACAAATTTCGGATTTTTCGACAAGTCTCCCTCTTGTGCCACTCTTGACAACAAAACAAAATATCGTAACATTCTCCTCGATACCCCCTTCTTCCTGGAGTCTTACGTATTTTACCTAAACAATGACAATGCTCCTTACATGCGGGTACATTAGTGATGAAATCATGGATTAGAAATATAACATGCATCCAACTTTCGAGTGACTTACCCTTCAAGCAGCATTTCCGTGTTGTCGCGGACCCAGTAATTGACGGTGTTGGGAAAGGCCTCGACATTGCACTCCAAAGTGACGTCAGTGTTCAATGGGGCACCGAGGAGCTGGTTTGGTACCTTGATCACTGGAGCAACTGTAAACAGACCAATCGACCTGCTGTTGAGATCAATTCATTGGGAGCAAACATTTTATTACATACCGCACCCGCAAATTCCACGTAAGCCACGTAATTTGATTCGTCGCATAGCAGATCTCACCGTTGGAGGGTAAGCAATCAATATAAATTCCTGTATTGATCCTGGTTAAAGTTTTGTTTGTTTGTTTGTTCCTTTCTTTCTTTCTTTCTTTCTTTCTTTCTTTCTTTCTTTCTTTCTTTCTTTCTTTGGAATTATAACTTGGTAAAGCATTGTTACTGCCCTCTTTAGAGGTGTAAATGGCCTTAGATGCTAAAGCACCGCTTAAAAATAAAATTATTTTACTACTACTACTAAAGCGCGTGTGTCGTAATTTAATAGTAACGCCAAGTGCTAGAGCGACGACAAAAAAAAAAAGTATTAAAATCGTGGCTTGCATTGACTTTACCTTAACCCTATATGACATGAATTCATTTTGGATCTGAGACTCTAGGGGACTCTAATCTATTTTGTAGCTTGCACAAAAAAATAGGGTACATAATTTTTTTTTTATAATTTTAAAGTTAAGGGAATCAATTTTTCAAAAAAAAAAAAAACGATGAAATTTCGCAAAATCATGACACAGGGGGAAGATTCAATTTATAAAAACCCCGAAAATACATTGTTTTAAATACGTAACGCCATGCCATTGAGAGTTAATTACCACAATAATTTAGCTCCCTTATAGTTTTCAAATTTACCTCTAAAATACGCTCAAGATCCGACTCAACGATTTAGCAGCTGTAATGATTAATCCAGCTACACTAATAAACTCCATTTGTTGTCCTTAGAAAGTCTGTGCAAATAATTGTTACTGCTCTCGAGAGCACGATGAGCGTTAGTTTCAAGCAAAATAATCCATGCTGTTTCATTCAGATTTTTCTCGGCAACATTTTCAGCATGAGTAAATTGCACACGCTTCGCCGGGATTCCTTTGAAGTTGGGAGTTGTGAAAAAAAAGAGAGTAGCGATTTAATGACGCGTTCTAATGTAATGATTCGCACTGAGCCTCTCATAATGACGCGTCATATGTTTCTTTATTCACGAGTCTCTCATGCAGTCGTGAAAGAGTTTGGAATTGTTTCACCTCTCCGTCCGCTTATTTCTGAAAAGAATAAATTCTTTATCAATGATGAAAAAACACTAGTGTTTTCCCTCCTTTTATGAACACGGATAGAACATTTTCAGTGCTAAAATCTGGTGCATTCATATTATCTTGGCGCCTTTTTCCGAATCCTGAAAGTTCATCCGAAAAAATAAAAGCGCGTGATGTGTGATTGTGTGATTGTGTGACTCTCCAATCTGGACGAGCGTATAGTTCATGTTCGGCGATGCAAGTGCCACTTTGATTCTAAGGTTACCTACCCTAAGGCAAACAAACCATTAATCTAACTTTGATGCTTCACTTGTGTGCGGCTATTTTATTGCCCACGAAATTTTGGCGAGCGAGTGTCAACTGCCTCTTTCGAGCACCTCGAGAATGAATACCTCACGGCTCTGATTTCCTTACGCGTGGATATCTGACACTCCTCTTTGCCGAGGCTCAAATTCGTTCACACCAATTTTGGCGCGCGTGGAGTCGAGAAACTTACGGAAGTTCTGACTGCACATGTGCATCATGAATAATGCATTAAAAGCGGATGCTGCGTTGACAAATCGGGCTTAATTTGGTATGAATTCGATATTTTGCAGTGGGACATCGAGTGGATTTCCGTCATTATCTGGCAGCGCGGACAAGGTTAATATTTAATCTGAATTCTTACACGCATCAATATGTCGGGCAAGTTTCCTACACCTTCTCGGGTTCCTTAGATTCAATTTTAAACATACAATCACTAGCGAGCTGGGTCCACGGGTTCCTGACACAAAACTTCAGCCCGAAGAAGGTAGGAATCCACTTATAAAAGATGATAGAAAATGTACTGAAATTAATCCTAACACGTTCATTTACAAATTAAGAGACTTATTCATGATTGTGCTTGGAAACTACGAATAATTTGTGAGGCTCATGGAGACCGTGACTTGAAAGGTCGGGATGCCTCATACACTGAAAAAAAAACTTGGGCCGTGGGAGCCGCAATTACGGGCAATATAGACATACCGTCCGTTCCGGGCTCAAAGGCCGAAAATTCCGGCTGCTGGAGCCGTAGCTTCGGCCTCTGAACCCGGAGCAATCAAGGCTACGTCTCCAGCAGCCGGAATTTTCGGCCTTGGAGCTCGGAACGGACGGTATGTCTATACAGCTCGTAATTGCGACTCCCACAGCCGGAGTTAATAATTTGAACTAAAGTAAATTATTTTATTATATTTTCCCCCTGCAAGTCAAGCAAAATGTCGTGCTTCGTTATTACTTTATCTACTTGTAAAAGACGATGCTTTGCAAACTTTATCCTTTCTACAAAAAGGAAATGAGAGGAGGGGTGGGAGGGGTTTCTCATCTCCATTGCTTCTTGAACTTGGAATATTAATTCGAAAACTAATCAAGGAAGAAAAAAACCAGGGACGTTGAAAAACTTTGTTCTCGATAGTCTTCATAGAACTTCACATCCACTGTCATTTCATTTAAATAGGATTTGTAAATCAGCGCACATTAACTTGTATTGAAAGTTCATGAAATTTTGAAATCACTCCTTAGACTCGGTAAACGGATACGAAAGAGAAACTATAGCTTGGGACATTAGATTGACTGTCCGTCAATAATGTACTCGTATATTGCCTTGTCCGTAATGGCACTGATTTTCGCGCAAATTTTTCTTTCGCAACTCTCATTTCTTCTTTTTGCGCACTCCTTCAGTTACTTTCAGTTAGAATTGTCTAATTTTGAAGAAAACTTGATTTCAAAAATTTGGTCGTTACTCAAAACTTTGGTTAATCAGCAGTTTTGTGGACAACTGTTCGTGAGATTGGCAGGAGCAACATTTCACTAGGAAATGAAAATGATACCAAATTGGCGAAATCTTAATATCTGGTTAGCAAATAGGGCTATTGTCTTGATCGAATGAGGAAAAACTAACAAAAAACAGAGAACAGGAGAAGAGAAATGTAAGGAAAGAGGAAAAAAATCCTCCTCAAGGCGTAATACGAGTGTGAAAATAATATTTATTTAAAGAGCCGAAAAAAATTGCTAATGGGACTTTTGAACTGTGGAACGAGCGATTAAAAGAACATTGTGGAATGGGTGTAAAAAGGTTTAGATTTACGAGGGACCGGGAGTTAAACGACCGGGCTGTCAGTGAAAACGTGTAACCGTATTCATTTTCCGGAGAAAATTCCAGGAATTTTCCTACCATCTCGTGATGTTGCGATTGAATTAGATCCTGCATGATGATAAAATCTATTAATAGACAAAGAGACAAAGTAAGAAATTAAGTAGTACGTACACCCTAGTTTCCTCACAGATAGAGGACAATCAGCTTAACTTATGAAATATTGGAGACCTTTTGAGAGAGCGGTGAGAAAGATCTACTAGGACTCAATCGATCGCTCCTTCATATACACATGCTACTCCACGCACTACTCCAAAGTTAGTTTAGTTGCTTGACCCAACCTAACCTAACTTAGCTCGACCGTTCGTAAAGTTTTAATTATGTATTGAGTAGCAAGTCACGGTATACAAACATTTCACGTAGAATGCATTGAACGCATTAACAATTTTTAGAATTAACTCATAAGTACATACAAAACAGTGAAATCAAGCTTACCCTTCACGCATAAACCTTAGTAATCGCAGGCCAAATTAGGCATTGAGATCAACATTGACGTTAAGCAAAAAAGTAGAGCATAATTTCGCACATATTTCCTTCTTCTTCTAATACAAAGTATATTACATTTTAACAAAAACACTTGATACGCAGAAAAAATTTTCCATCGTAAAAAAATACCTTAGTTACTCCAGTGCTCGACTTGACTCTGGCACACTTTTTTTCACAACACCGGTTTTTCTGCTAGTGCAAAGAAAGAATATAAACGTGGAGAAAAACTATTATTTAATAAATCATGAGTTGAATCTGGACAGTTTTGATGCGTCCATGTTATTCTGCGTAAAATTATAATTAAATATATTGGTTCTTAATTCTTAACTCTGTCCAGTGGTCTGCTCTAAAAAAGTAGGTGCTTAACGAACCGCCCAAGAAAAAATAACGAGAAAAAAATATAAAACTGCAGAAGACCCACTTTCACATTCTTTGTGAATGCGAACATTCTCTAAAAGGATGTGCAAAAGAGTTGTTAGTTACATATTTAATGCATTATATTAGCGGTTAAGTTATGAAAAAAGAGGAAGATTAATTTTTTTTATATGCTCGGGGCTTGTTCTCTCGGTGAATAAAAGGCACTGCTCGACCGTAAGAGTTTAAACCCCGGAATTTCAAAGAGATATACCTCCAATTTCCTGGAAACACCTGTACATCGTAATGGAATAAACAAAGAAAAAAATCAACGTGTAAACGAATTCGAGCCTGGTTTTTTCCCTCTTCTTTTCCCCCATTCCCTTTCAAATTAAAGTTGCTATAAGTTGATACCGATAATCCTCAGTCGAGAAAAGGATTGAAAAGTTTCAGTCCTTCGGTCCGTGAGGGAGAAATACACGAAGAAGAAAACTGTGGAAATTTAATTTATCTGTGCTCGGTGTTTTCTATTCTCTCCGATGGAAGAACGATTCCGTGGATAATCTTAAATGATGGGGAAAGGGGGGATTATTTACCCTCGGCCGAGAAACAAGGATTCCGTCCATTAGTTCCTTCTCATGGCAAATCCAATCAGGTAAATACGAGGGAATCCCAATAAGTAAGTTCCCCTAATTTCTTCCTCGAAACTATTAAAGATATTGCAAATCGGCAAAAATCGGTTTGTTGACTGTATTCTTGGCTTTAAAGCGGGCTGAAGATTTAGCCATCTGGCCTACGGGTTGCCAAGATATTCACTGGAAAAAAACATTTCGGTCATGCAAACCGCTGGGTAGTGCACAGTGTCAGTCGTACTATTCCGTCCACGTAAACGCTCTTTTTGGTTCAGGTCGTCCTACGTTTGGTTATTTATATAGAGTGATTCATACAACCGAACTTTCTCTGTACATCGGTTTGGTTTGACATTTGGTAACGTGAACCGAACTTAACGACCGATATTGACGGTTGAATTGCAATGCAAATAGCTCAAATTTTTATCTCAGTGCTATTTTTTTATACCCTATTGCCTAACCATGGGTCAAATTTCAAAGATTTCATCAATAAAAAAATCCCCTACTCTCCCCCCCCCCATAAGAGGAAACTATGTAACGTGTAATAATGTGACCAGGCTCTTGGCTCATTGTCACTCACATTAATTCGACTATGTAAATTTAGCAGTTATAGGAACTATAATATCTGGCTCATTCGTAAAAACATTTATGTGCATAGAAAAACTAATGGCACGTACGTTGTTCCTAAGCACTTTACGGTTCCTGTACTAAAAATGTACTCCAATTTATTTAAAGCACATTTCGGGAGCCCGAGGTTCCATTCGCTCGATATTTATTTTTGCTGCGTACCTGAGAGCCGCACCGTGGCGGGAACGCTCGCGCCCTTGCGGAAAATTATGTTTGAACAATTAACGCTTTTTAATCTATTTCGAGAGGGCGCCTGGGTGTATAGAATTCGCGGTTCACGGAATCGATTCCCTGCGACACGGGTATCGAGGTAGACTCCTTGTTTAATTTCATTCCGCGATTTTTCCGGCGAATTACCCGGGAGGTGAGAGCCACCAACCTCAGGATAAAACCCTAAGCCTCCTCGCCGAACATCGCGTCAACGAATTTCAGGCGCTCGAAGGGGGTGCCGATTTCAATCTCATGATGGTAAAAATAGCCTAGCAGACAAACGCCGAGACGAAACCACACGTCGAACGATACCTATTAAATTTTTCCCGTAAAAATCGACGCGCAATTCAAGCCTTCGTCCCACAACCAAGTGACGCGGTTTGATTACTTTGTGCTTAGCGGAGGCAGAGGAACATTCAAATGCTGCCGTGTCTGGAGGCAGAGATTTTGAGCTTTTGAACGATGTCTCATTAATCGTCATACACTGAGAGAAAGCTATGGCTTGTAAACCAATACGTGGTTGATATGGCACACCACTAATAGTAGTAAAGGCAACATATAATAATAGCACGTATACCTCAGTGATGGTAATTAAACGAAATTCACGAGTACTTCTCAACCTTTTCGTTTACATTTTGCAATATTTTTACGCAACATTTTACAAGATAGTGATGGTAGCACTTAGTGATGGTATATATCGACGGTGTAAGTCGGCAATCACATGACTCGGTTTGCGACGTCGCAGACATCCTGTCATACTTTCTTTTTTAACAGAAAACTACTCAACCGCAATTCTTTAAAACTGCCGTGATTTTTCCTCTCTGTGCGAGGAAAATTCTGCAAAATCTAGAGGAATGATGTCAATTTGTTCTCCTTTAAAAAAATGACACAGAGGCGGAGATTTTCAGACACCGCAAACGAGGTATGTGGTTGCCGACTTACACCGTCAATATATACCTTAGTATGGTACGAGATACCTCAGTATGGTTCACAGACCGATAATTATTAGTTAATTTACAACTATTAGAGGTGTTTCATACGAACCACTAATTGGTTTATAAGGCCATAGATTTTTCTCCGTGTACAATATACCTTTTTTGATTACTTGATTCTTTTCTGTCCGTAAATTTTGTGCGTAGAATGCACGGAGTCGTAATAAGAATGGAGGAGCTGGCGGCACTTTTTGTCGCTCCTCTGGAGTAAGACTGTATCTCGATTCCCACATGCGCCCCAAACATCATGAGTTTACATATAAAACAGGGCTCACGCGAAAAATGAGATACGCCCTTACGTGAGAGGGGCGACGTTTTAAGCATTTTCGAAAAACCGCATTCCATGACTCCTGAGGGGTGAGTCCGGATTCCGCCCCGAGGACTCCGAAACGCGTCCGGCGGGACTCTCCGAACTGCGTCCCAGATCGCGTCCATTTAATTCTTGAGAAAAAGGTGTAAATGGCAACGTTGCTCACCTTTTCCTCACGATGATACCAATGTCCGGAAAGTAAAATAAAATGAATAGGAATAGAGCCCTCCTGAGCGGTGCCGGATCACCATTTCGATACATTATCGATTGTTTTCGATACACGGGTATTCGACCATCCAATGTAAACAAGAAGGGTATGGTTATCACGTATTCTCCATCGCCATTTTGGATCGAATGTGTATCGAAAAGGTGATCTAATCACAGCGCAAACCGGGCTTGGAACTCGTCGACCAGAGCATGACCCCAGCTCACTTCATTACATAACGATTCTATACGCTCTATGTTTTTGTGGTGCTCTTACAACTTAAAGCTCAGCATAGCATTTCTGACTTGATGCTGAGTCGATGACGTAAACAGAGAAAATTCGGCTGTTAAGTCAATGCGTCAGTAAGAATGTAAACGCCAAATTTTGGTTCAAGGGTGGGTTTTAAACAGCCTCTCACACGTTACTTCTCTACCCAAATTTTCACAAAATATCCTAGAGCCTCTCCATCAAACTCATCACAGTGTTTTCTGAGGTACTGACGAAACGCGGCATTGCCATTTCTCGCGTAAAATTCGCTTTTCTACACTTAGTTTTATAAGAGGGTAGAATGGATTTTTTTGGGGGTAAAAATCGACAACACCGGTAAAACCCTTACGAATTAGACGCAGCGCCGCTGTCGAAAGCGGAGGCGCACCTGAGTTGCGAGAAGATTGTCATAGCGTTGCCGCCTTGAGAGCGGTCCTCGCCGTTTTTCCGTTGAAAACAAAGTGGAGCTGACGAGCTTTCTCACGATGTACGTCAACAGGGGATTGCGCTGTCTCCATTCGCTATTGTATGAGGGATCCCGAAAATTAAAATTCTCGAAATAGCTCTCGTAGCCGGGTCTCTTGTGGGAAACAGCAGATTCAAAGGGGAGCGAAGCTGCTGTCCTAAGAACGGGAGGGAGGTAACTTCGTGGATTTAAATCGATGTTGATCGTTAAAAATACAACCTCAATTGGGACATTTCATAAATCACTACTATTGCGTTGTTGTTGTTTTGTTTCCGCTTTTCTTCTTACTTTTCCAACAACGAGAGCGCTCGCACCGTTGCACCGAACACCGTTGTTTTAAACTTTATTCTCGGTTCATGGAACTGAGCTTTCAAAATAGACCGAAGTATAGAAAAAGCTCGGTTGTAAGAAGTAAGTATACGGTTCCTAGAATCGAACAGTACGGCTGATGTAGAACACCGTACATAAGGCTCATGTGACCGAGCTTTTTTTTCCCAGCGTTGAACAGCCCTTTACTTTTTCGAGTAAAAATATTGCCGCATTATCTCAGGGTTTCCAAATCATACATGGAGAAATGGAAACTTTAAATGCCGTCAGCGAGCGCTCTCGTTGTTAGAAAAGTAAGAAGAAAAGCGGAAACAAAACAACAACAACGCAATAGTAGTGATTTATGAAATGTCCCAATTGAGGTTGTATTTTTAACGATCAACATCGATTTAAATCCACGAAGTTACCTCCCTCCCGTTCTTAGGGTATTGTATGAGAATATCTCTCGTATTGTATGAGGGATCCCGAAAATTAAAATTCTCGAAATAGCTCTCGTAGCCGGGTCTCCTGTGGGAAACAGCAGATTCAAAGGGGAGCGAGGCTGCTGTCCTAAGAACGGGAGGGAGGTAACTTTGTGGATTTAAATCGATGTTGATCGTTAAAAATACAACCTCAATTGGGACATTTCATAAATCACTACTATTGCGTTGTTGTTGTTTTGTTTCCGCTTTTCTTCTTACTTTTCTAACAACGAGAGCGCTCGCTGACGGCATTTAAAGTTTCCATTTCTCCATGTATGATTTGGAAACCCTGAGATAATGCGGCAATATTTTTACTCGAAAAAGTAAAGGGCTGTTCAACGCTGGGAAAAAAAAGCTCGGTCACATGAGCCTTATGTACGGTGTTCTACATCAGCCGTACTGTTCGATTCTAGGAACCGTATACTTACTTCTTACAACCGAGCTTTTTCTATACTTCGGTCTATTTTGAAAGCTCAGTTCCATGAACCGAGAATAAAGTTTCCGGGGCCACGAGTACGGTTACATGAACCAAAGAGTGCGGTCGATGTAGAACACCGTACTTAAGGTTAATACAACCAAAGTTTTCTTGGTGTAGTATTGAGGAAAGTATTTTCGCTGACTTAATAACCCCCCCCCCTCATTCTCAGAAATTGTGAAGAAAACCCGAAAAAGTATTATCTTTGGAAAATATTAAACGAAATTTGAAAGAAAATTTGAAATAGGCGAAGCGCGGCTCGGGGGATTCGACCGCTAAGCGATCAGGAGGTGTAACTCTTCTTCTTCTTCTTCTTCTACCTTCTGACTAGGGCCGTAACCCTGTTTGTCTAGCCTCTAAAATAATATATAAATATGACAAATAAAATATGATGGCGATGAGAGAGGATTAATTTTCCGGGGATGAAAGGCAGCTCTGTGCCCATCTCTTGGGCGGTCGTCCGGTATGACCGGTCTTGGTCGGTCGGAGATTTGTATGGTAGGACGACCTCATATCCAAAGGCGTAGCTCCTTAGTATGTATTTAAAATGTTCAAACTTACCCAATCCAACATTCTGCTTAAAAATCAAGATCTACTTTCGAGTTAAAGTGGGTACCGATGGAAACTTGTGAAACTAACAGTGTTCCTCGTACAACGATGAATGTACACATGCAATGTAAGTAAGTTCTGAATACTCACAGGTTACGTAGAGTGTGATCCTCTTGCTGACTGCTGGCGGGACATCATTCGAAGCGATGCACAGGTAAGCTCCCATTTGACGTCGGTCCGCCCGCACCAAAGTTAGTGCCTCGCCGCTGAAGTTTTCCACTGAAACATACACCCAAAACTCTCAGAATGTCTGTCATGTTGGATTAGCCTGAAAATAAACTTCTGAATAAAATGACCTGTAGAACGCACATAAACTTGAACTAACACTGAACAGCAGTTTGCCAAAGTGTAAAAAAATAAGAAACATCTGCGTAAAAAAAAATGAGCCCACGCTTTCTTGATCCCACAATAAATGTCATACACATTTTCGCCAAAAAAATAATCTAATTTTAAGCACAAAATCTTAAGTATGCAGGTTTTCCTTTGACCGTGCAGTTCCAAAAGAATTTATAGGGTCTGATTTTCCCTTTTGTTGATATTAAAGACAAACAAGAAGTAGATATTAAATTGCACCCAAAGTTGCCGTAAAATTAAAGTATCAAAAGGGGAAAAAATCGACCTCTTTTGTCGTTCCAGTCGCTGGAGGGCGTATTTTCATTTTGTGCATTAAGTTATATGCACTAAGATACAGGACGCATCTCGAAATGCAATTAATTATACCCCTTCCAGCGAAGCGACTTTATTACCCTTGATAGCAATATTCACCATGTATGGTACCTTGTTGTGCAAACCATTTACTTTTGTTGAGGAGGATACATTTTTTAAAGTTCAACTCGTTTAAGAGAGTGCTGCTTCGGAAGTTCAAAATTGATTTCTATAACATAATCACTAGAAAAAGTTGCTCTCTGAATAATGTCATTTATTAAATTCGGAAAACAAAATATTTCAAGGAGTATATTGCTTTTCCTTAAGCAGGCTAAAAAGCTGCTCAAGAAAAGTCAGTCTCAGCGCATGCATTTTGTGGCTTTTGAAATTTAAGGGATTCCCTCATTGGTCGCTACGCAGTCCATCCTCTGACCAACGAGTGTTTTTGAGCCTCAAAGGTCCTCTTCATGATAATATACATATTACGTGATTTCGGAGATTCCTACTGGTGCTGACACGGTCATCCAGTTGTGCGTTGCTCACGAGATATTTTGCGACTTTTAAACGACTCCTTGCAAGGACTATGTACCTCACGTGATTTTGCAGATTCCGAGGGGTACAAAATCTGCCATCCAGTCGTGAGTTTCGCGCGATATTGTTTGTGATTTATACGACTGGATGCTACGACGATAAGTCGCAAAATATCTCGTGAGAAACGCACAACTGGATGACCGTTTCGCCACCAGTAGGAATCTTCAAAATCAATTAAAATACATTGTCTCATCATGCAGTCGTTAAAAAGCACGAAAACAAATCGCGTAACTAACGACCGGATGGCAGTTTTTCCTCCCCTGGCCCTGGGGATGCTTAAGATCACGTAGAATACATCGTCCTTGCAAAAAGTCGTTTAACAGTCACAAATTATCTCATGCGAAACGCACAACCGGAGCACCACCAGTAAGAACCTTCAAAATCAATTGGACTGCATTTTGCAATTTGGAACTATAAATTCTGGCCCGGTTCAAAAACAACGTATGTGCCATTAGTTTCCTTATACACATACGTGTTTCTTCAGATGAGACAGAATTTATAGCTCCAAATTGCAAAATGCAGTCCAATTAAAACACATCGTTTAGCATGCAGTCGTTTATAGTCACAAAAAATTTCGCGCGAAACTCACGACTGAATTAGTTTTTACGCCGCGCCGTTGGGAATCTTTAAAATCATGTTAAATACACCGTCTCAGCATGCAGTTGATTTAAGTCACAGAAAATTCGCGCGAAACTCACGACTGGATGGCAGTTTTTGCACCCCTCAGAATCTGCAAAATCACGTGAGGAACATCGTCCTTACAACGAGTTAGTTGAAAGTCGCAAAATATCTCGTGAGAAACACACAACTGAATAGCCGTCACGGCACCAGTAGGAATCTCCGAAATCACGGAATATGCATTGACCTAGCATGGAGTCGTCTGAAAGTCACGAAAAATATCGCACGAAACTCACAACTGGATGGCAGTTTTTGCACCAATGGAAATCTCCTAAATCATGGAATATCCATGGTCCTAGCATGGAGTCATCTGAAATTCACGAAAAATATCGCACGAAACTCACAACTGGATGGCAGTTTTTGCACCAGTGGAAATCTCCTAAATCATGGAATATCCATGGTCCTAGCATCGAATCGTCTGAAAGTCACGAAAAATATTGCACGAAACTCACAACTGGATGGCAGTTTTTGCACCAGTGGAAATCTCCTAAATCATGGAATATCCATGGTCCTAGCATCGAATCGTCTGAAAGTCACGAAAAATATCGCACGAAACGCACAACTGGATAGCCGTGTCAGTACCAGTGAAAATCTCCTAAATCACGGAATATGCATTGTCCTAGCATGGAATCGTCAGAAAGTCACGAAAGATATCGCAAGAAACGCACAACTGGATGGCAGTTTTTGCACCCCTCGGAATCTGCCAAATCACGTGAGGTACAAAAACGAAATTTTTCGGAACCTGATCTCTCGGATACTGGGGAGGGTTTCCCACCGATATTTTAAGAGCAATTTTTTGACTTTCACGACAAGATCCCATCCATTGAATTTGCCTCAAAGAGGAGAGGACTTAGGTCAATTTTTCCGAGGACGATCACAATATTTCATAGCCACGTTAATGTACACCACCGAATGTTGAAAAAGACTAGAGGCTACGCCTCCTTACCATTTTATTCCACAGATGTTACGCCTTTGCTCAACTCTTATAAAAATTATATGGACTGCATTTTGCAATTTGGACCTATAAATTCTGGCTCATCTGAAAAAACACTTATGTGCATAGGGAAACTAATGGCACATACGTTGGTTTTAAACCGGGCAGTAATTTATAGGTCCAACTTGCAAAATGCACTCCATATATAATATGGTATGGACAGAAATATAGAAAATTCTCGACTTTTATCATCAGTTTCCTAACAAGATCCTTGATTTTTTTTCCCGCTGATAAACCCGGGAGTCCGCGGTTTTCCAGATCCTAGACACCGCGCCAAAAGGGCAACACCGATAACGAGCTACGCGCCACGTCGACAGTACAAAGGGCGCCATTGTCAGGTAGGAAAAGAAAGTGAAGGCGTCATAAATGACAAACAAAGAGCTAAGCACAGCGGAGCTAGTAATCGTTCAGTTCAGCCATGGATGAGAAAGGGGAGAGGACTTGGAGGAGACGCGAAAGCACATACACCATAATTAAACTGAACACTTTACATAAAGCCCTCCTTGCGTCTTCTATTTGACGTCGTCAGGGGTGCGGGGGTGGAGTTGGGTGGGAAGGGCGTGGGGGACGAACTCCAAGAGGGCGGAACCGATTACAATTAAGCACTTGAAAAACGAGTCCGTTGCTGTGTCGGAATCCTGGACGAGTTGGAATAGAAACGTTGAGTAGCTGACGGCGGTCGTAATGAGAAATTTAAAATATGACCGAGGGGAAACCGGGATGGTAAAAAACAGTCGTCTCGTTGGTGAGTCGTCCTTTGTTTCGCGGGTTGATTTTCAAGGAATTAGAGTGAAATATGTAGAATCAGTGATGAGCGTGTAACACAGTTTAATCGGTAATAAGGTGCCTGTACCTGTAAAATTTTTATTTTTTAATATAACAAGGAGGTCCTCCCCATGGTCGCTTTCGTTCGTCATCTCCATATCGCGAGAGAACGTGAAAACATTTCAATGTCGCCTTTCTCCTTGCAAATTGCATTATCACCGAGAGAATTTCATGAATTTAAAACTGAACATTTTTCTGATTTTTCTGCCGATCTCATGCAAGAATCAGAAAAATTTTGTGAAAAAATGGGTCGGGTACGTTCTTTTAAAAATCGAATGGTTTGGGTCAATGTAGCAACCTTTGAATGGAGTTACGTTTCTTAGTCCCGGAAATGAAGAATTGCGATGTATGCTAAATTTTTCATTTCCGGTTCTGAAAGACTAAAAAAAAACTTCGCATTAGTGACGATGCTTCCCAGTTTACAACACTGATTGTGCTCCATTTAATACATCAGTGATGCTGCTCTCTGGTTTACAACATTGATTTTGCTCCATTCAAATTCATAAAAAATTTCGATTGTAGATGAGGCAGTCTGCTTCAACAATCGACTGTTTTACATACGTTTTAATGGAGAAAAAACAGTGTTGCCAATTTTCAAGAATCATCACAGCTTTGCAACGTTTTCAGAATGCAAGATGTTCTCCGTTCCTTTCCGGCACGGTTTCTTTTTTCATTTTCCACCGTCCGGACTAATCTCGAATTAACCAGACTTGTCAGTTTTAAACAGATAAGACAATTTCATATTTTCCGTAAAAAAGACCACGTAAAAAAAATGAAACTCCCAAAATTACATTTTGTTTTGTTCCGTTCCTTACTGCCTGGCAAACTGGGTAGAGCCTAGTGAAGCTGCCCGAACTACAAATACACGCTCCCGCTCCAGGCTCTCAAATTTCAGGGATCAAAGTTGAACTAAATCTGTTTCTACAGATACACTTGTCAGTTCTTCGAAAATGTTTCGCCACAACCGGAATTCGAACCCGAGTCCTGATGACTTGGATCCGGACGCCGTAACCACTAGGCCAACCTGACCAGTTTTGGTTGATGGAATTTTGTTTCTCTTCCTTTAATTTTACAGTCGACCAATTTACCAGAGGACATTTTTAAACGCCGTAAAAAATGCGACTTTTTGAAGTTTCACCATATAGTTTTTGTTTAGCACAAAACCGGAAGAAGAGTTGACGGATAATACTCTCATGAGAGACACGAATTGGATCGAATTTAGCCGAAAGGAACCAAGCCACATCAGCTGTTGCCAAAATTAACTGAGCAATTTTATTTTTTGCAGGAGAACGTTTGTACGGATTTTTTTTAAGAATGTTATGGAATTTGGTTCGTACTATGCAGAAAATTTGCTGAAATTTGTACAAAAAGCCACACGACCGTTTTCATTTAAAAATTGAAGTGCCCGATTAAATTTGGCAAAAGATGATGCGGCTCGATTCCTCTCTGCTTAACGCGGTCCCCAATTGGACCGCGTTAAGCAGGAAGAAACCAAGCCACATCAGCTGTTGCCAAATTTAACTGGGCAATTTAATTTTTTCCATGAAAACGGTTGTGCGGATTTTTGTGCAAATTTCAGTGAATTTTTTGTATAGTACGGAGCAAATTCCCTGAAATTTTCAAAGGAATCCGCACAAACCTTCTTTTGTAAAAAATTACATTGCCTCGTTGAATTTGCCAATAGCTGATGTGGCTTGGTTCCTTTCTGCTTAACGCGGTCCAATTGTGAAATAGTCTTGTGAGTGACTGTCAATATATTTCTGAAGTGACGCGGAAAGACTCTAAAAGGCCTCCGGTTGTGAGCAAGACGAAATGAAAGAGCCCGGCACTTACTTCCCCACCGCTTGAGCCCCCACCCTAGAACCCCTCCTTCGACAACGTTCCACGGGACACGACGAAATAAAACTATCAACACACCGCAAAGCTAAGAAACAATCGCTCGAGGCCCAATTCGCGCTATCCAGCTGTTCGAGAATTTCGCTCACCGCCCTCGGAATCCTCCGTCCAGGTTCAGGGGTTGACGAAAAACCGCGCCTTCAATGCGGCAACGCTGTCCGAAGTTTTAATTACACCGAACTTTCTCCTCCAGAGTGTGCTTATAATCCGGTTAATCCTTTGTTCGAGTCGTCCGAATCCACATTCTTTCCGCGCGATTGTTATTAAAACTGAAGCCGATCTTAGATTATAAAAAGTCTCGCACCGGCGGAGTGCTTTAGTGCTTTTGTGTTTTATGTGCGTGCGTTTTGTCCCTTTATTGGACGATAAAAATATTTTTCCCCGGCTGGTCACGAGCGGATTCCGAAACTTTCGCCTCCGAGAGGTAATCTACCGGTGTGGCTCCGCCTCCTGATTTCCTAGATAAAGTTTCCAAGAGCAAATATATAGGTCAAGGGAGTTGTAAATAAAACGATGCAAGGCCTAACTCCAATAATCACGAGGAATTAATTTCAAGCTGAGTCCTTCATTCAATTTGGAGGACCTTCGCAGGGAGAAGATAGCCGTAGAGGTATACTTAGATTGCAGGTTGCAAAAAGGAACCAAGAGCATTTCAAAGTTGCAAGATTGTGCCACTTTTTTCACCTTGAAAATGTTTCTAAAGAAGTTTTAGCCTTACTCTCAATAAACTGCAAATTTAAGACGAATAATACCTTTGCTAATTCCATTTTTTGCACGCGATTTCAGTATATTTCACGCAAAGAATGCAAGGTGCACAATCCTAGCAACATTGGAATGCTCTTGGTTTCTTCTTTGCAAAATGAAAGCCGCTTCTACATTACTCCAGACCCACCTGTCGTAAGATTTCATGGAGTTCTTAAGATTATGGTGCACCTGGAAATTCTGATATTTAAGAGGAAAAAATGCATTACTGGTCCTCCGTTTAAAATAAGGGATGATAATCGGGGATTGATGTGATTGAAAAGGGAATACCGTTCCTGGCAATATAACTCAAAATAATTGACAGATATAAAATGTAAACAAACGTTTAAAACATTTCGCACGTTTCAAGACTTTAACATTAGAGCAGAATTCGAAACTCTCCTTGAGTTTTAGGTGCCATGTGGCGCATTAAGCCCGGTTTTTAGGCACCATTGAAGATTTTTTAGGGGCCAAATTGACTTTTTGCCTATATCTTACGGCGCATTTAGTAAAAAGTTAGACGCAAGATGTTTTCGTGATAGGACTAGTATGTAGCTGTAACTTGGGGAGGACAAAAGCACTAAGAATGAAATCGTGAAGAATAGAAGAAGCAAGCTTTAACTTGTAGTGCTGAAAATTCTGAGTTTTTTCAATTCAAATAAATTTGTTTTTCTTTCTCTACATGACTTCCTGTGAAAATCCAGATTTTCAGGGGGCAATTTTTAGGGGCCACGTTGGCGCAGAGCCTTCATTTTTAGGCGCATTTGGCGCGTTGGCGCCTGTGAGTTTCGAACTACGCATTAGAGTCCCAATAAAGGAAGATTAAAGACAAATCGGCTCATGGATGTCACAACCTGGGATAAAGATTAAGCAGATCCTGAAATGGTATTTTATTCGAGTTACCTTTCATTAATTCCTTGCCGTTATTTTTCATGAGTATGGAGGAGCCATCCTCTCTTCGCCACGTTATCCGGGGCAAAGGGTGTCCTTCGGCTCGGCATGCCAGAGTTGCGTCTTCTCCCTCCCGCACTGTGACGTCAGAGCTCGACTTCTCGTCAATTATATTTGGAGGCACTACAATAAACAACAGACAAAAAATAGCATCGTTAGAATCAGACGTTATGATTTCTTTTTAAATGCGACAACACAAACACTTCGGAGAGGTCTCAAACATATCCTCATACAGGAGGCCTGGTAGATTTAAGAAAGAGAGTCTTCGACTTTTAGGACGGACTTATTGGCACAGACAAATTAAGAAATTTAAGGGAAAATTACGAAAGTAGCACATCCACTTAACCTCGAAAAATTAAACAAATGATAAAGGAGTCAGATCAGAAATGACTATACGTTGAATACTCGCGCAGAAGGATCCGTTTCTCTTGCCTCAAAAACCGTAAATTCGAAAGAAAAGTCAATTCTTTCTTTCCGGAATGAAGATTTTCCTTTGTGGAAAATTATCTTTAATCTGTAGTGATACACGATCGTCTCATAATCAGCAAACCCATCAACACAATAATACTCATTTTCTTGACACTGGAAGACATTTGATGTCTACTTCCAGGGCCGGCTTCACCTATTTGCCGCCCAAGGGCCGCCTGTATTTTGCCGCCCCCTTCTCATTCGTTTTGAAACATCAATAAAAACCATCAAGCGAACGTGCCGAAGAGGGAGAGATGCACAAAACGCATTTACTCGTGTCGGACTTATTTTTTGCGAAAGCACTGTCATCACTACCAGCAAAAGTTCACGGAACTTTTCGTTTAAGTTCCGTAAACCTATCTCTATGTGGACAAGGCCTTCCACTTATGAGAAATGAACGAAAAAATTAGAAAAGAACAAACATAAATGTGGTTTAATAATTTTAACTTCCGCCGCATCGTCGCGCTGACCGGACTGTGTTTGGCGCAATGCTTGAAGTATTCCTGCAGTCTTGTAGGCGCTATGCTTTTCCCGCCGACCGCTGCTGACCGGCACTGTGTTTGGACGCAATGCGTGAAGTATTCATTCAGTCTTGTAGGCGCTAATATGTGTTACATGCCAACAGCCGCACCGAGGGCTTCTTTTTTCATCACGAGTCCTCGTCAATATTGCTCTCTGCGCCACGCCGCTCCATGCGTGTTTGATTTCTCTCTCAACTTGACTAAATAAAGGTGCTGTCTCTTGTATCACCGAAAGACAGCAAAATTAGAAATTACTGTAATCTCAGGAAATGAGAGCTTTTGTTGCCTTTTCTCGTTTGTAATTTTTTTTCTAAATCCGATTTTTTTATACCTACATTTAAACGAATTGCAAAATTCCCCGCCCTCTAAATTTGCCGCCATGGGCCGCGGCCTATGTGACCACCCCCTAAATCCGGCCCTGTCTACTTCTGATGCAAAATCATTTAATCAAGACCAAAACCGACCTAATCCTGAAACCAAGTATATGACACAAAAACGAGAGGTGTGAAATTAAACGATTAAAAGCAAATATTCTGTTAAACTTATGTTTCAAAGCATGAGCTCTGTGGCATGACTAAAAAGTGAAACTACGACGAGAGTTCCCCTTGATCACCCAAGAATCCTCAACATCATGGTTTATTCATTGTGTACAATGTTCGCGTCTTGAAACAACGAAGACTACATAGTACTATTCTTATGATCTACATACGTGCATACGTACGTGTTCGCCTGATATCCGTTTCATCAAAACACAAGTTTTCGCATAATGATTCGAGCACATTACGTACTGGAGAAATCGATGAAGTATCTGCATAAAAAGTTTGAGCCGGAGAAGCCGAAGCTCTAGCCGATCGAGATGGAAGTTCGGTGCATGTCTCTCCCGAAGAAACCGTGCTGTCTGGAACTTCTCTTTTCAACGCCCGAAACTTGTGATGTGACAATCAAGCGATTGTTCCAAAAGTTTCCCTACTAATCTTGGGAATATGTCTTAAAACTATCCCTATTCTGCCTGTTTGTCCCGACCTCCTCGACAGGAAGTAGGTCATGGGAAATTTTGGAAACGGAGAGGAAAGAATAAATTCGAATACAATCTGTGATAATCCGAAGACTACTCGCGACAGGAGGGACAATGATTCCTGAGTGTCATGTTATGGCCTCATTGTTTTGACGTCTTATTTGCACCCAATTGTGATATTTTTTTACCAATATTGTAGTAAAGTTTCACGCGATATTTGTAAAACATCGTAAAATAGGTTGTAAAATCAAGTACAAGGTAATGATAATATGATCCTAGCAAGGGTGCCGTCATTACACTGCATTTCGCGGTGCATTCTCACTATTGAGGGAAAAGCTCATATGAGCATAATTTTTCCTCTTGGAGTTATGCTGTTTGACGCAACACTAGTTTCGTCCAATCAGAAAGCAACCGTAGACGCGCTTCGACTCTAATATAATGGTTCAGTTACACGATCAAATTGGGCCATTAAATTGGGCCTCTCATTGGTCGCATCCTCACCTCAGGTCTTTTTCCACCAATCAGAGCTTCAGTTTGATGGCTCAATTTGATCGTTTAACTGAACCTTTCCTGGAGACATCATCGGTACGGCGCGGCGCAGCTTTCTGACTTTCTGCTTCCATTCACGAAAGAGTCTAAAAAACCAAACCGAGATTGGGCAAGCGGCTAGCATGTTAGCACGCTATCTAGTGAGCAATTGTCCAAACAGCAAATGTAACAGCAGAATGTGGAATAATCATGATACTTAAAGAAACAGGGTGGCCATTGAAATTTAGGATGAAATCTGGAGATTTTGCCACCCAGCTAGGAAACGAGATTTAACAATGTGCCGAAACGCTTGACAATTTGCCACTTTTATGAGTGCAATTTTTCCCTCGCTTTTGGGACATTTTGTTTTTACTGCTGATTTTTCCCGGACTTCAAGGTTTCTCCTGACCGTAATTCTTCCCAAGAAGTTACGTTTTTACGTCTTCATACTGACAGAGGATAGAATTTTTGTTAAAATTTAAAAATTATTCCAGTGGTACTTCCCATAATGGTTGTGGGAAAAATGTCAACAATTTTGAACCGACCGTAACGCTCTCAGCAATATTTTCATGTTAAAGAAAAAACAAGGAAAAGAAGAAGTACCAATAAGTGGGTTAAATTCATAAAGGGTTCCTAGTGAGTGCTAAAATCATATTCTTAAAGTACTACGTATTAAGTAACTTTGTAAAGACATTGCTAGGGAGCATATTCCTCTTACCTCGGCAATCTAGTGGCAACGCAGATACACCAACGCTTTTTTTTTTCGGGTACGGGAGCGCGCGGTTACACTTTGCGTAAACCCTGGCGGGGGCAAAGTAAAACAAACCGAGGTCGCAGCTGAAATTTATCGACGATCAATCCTGACTGAATGCTCGCGGGACCTTCGGGTGTTTATTTTTTTCCGAGCGGGCTATAAAAAACGCCCGCAGGGGAGAGCAGGAGAAGGGAGGAGGGCCAGAAATGATTCCCGAAAATGCGTTTATCGCTATGGACTCGGATAATAAATTACGGAGCATGCACAAATATGTGGATCAATTCTACGCATTTCAATAAAAAGAAATCATATCTGTTATGACTTGAGCCCTGAGACCCATATGAGTAAATTCATTTCAGGGCACATGTTACGAAGGAGATAAGTCCTTTCAATTTAAATGCATCTCAATTGAGCATGTGGCTTGTATCCCAGAACGCGGCAATGCACCACGGGTTGTTCGTTGTCCGAGTCAGAGATAAATTGGTCCATTTGTAAACCTATCATATTCATTACCTCATGAGCCCTGGAATCCGAGTATGCCTAGGGACTTCGGGGTTACACGGGAGATAAACCAAGTTCGGGTTTTAATTTAGATTGATTCCGATGCAGTGTAGCTGAGAGAACCTCGTTCAAGCACGGTCTGGGGACCGCAGTGGTGATAAACTCTTTCAAATTGGCAACACAGCGATCCTTCATTTTAACGGCACGTGAGACAATCGATAAAACGTTAAATCAGGCGCTTCACCTGCAGCTGGATGTATTGATGCTAAAGGAAACTGTGTGAGGATAAATTGAATTAAAAGGATTTATAATAAAACTAAAATAAAGGTATTTTCGGCAATCAGAGTATTTCTCGAATTATATTAGGTCTCCCGATTTTCAGACTCTCTAAACACCCTAGGTTCCATTGGAAACCTCCGGAAACTAAGAGACATGTGCCAAGCTCTTAACCTTGAAAAAACCTGAAGGTCTTAGGGATTTTTTTTTTTTTTTTTTTTTTTTTTTTCCCCCAAGAAAAATAGGTGTTTCATAAAAACGTACATGATGGAGAGACAGAATCATTATAACCCATAGTGAGTTATAAAATTAAAATTTCTACTTGTCTACACTGAGAAATAAACCAGTTAGTCAATTGATTAGCCGTGATACAGTGTTAGCCGTATGCTTCGGTTCGTTAAACCAAACTAAACCTTAAACCTTTTACTTTCCAACAGTGAATTGTAGAAAAAGTTCGATGACGGCATGAACATGTAGCCGTGATTCCAAAATTGGAACACTGTACCAAACTGGTACATTACATGTACCAAATAGGCCGGCCGGCTAGTACAGAACAGCGTCATGCGGTAGGTAGAAATCTTTTCTCGGTGTGCGAAAACTGTGTGATATCTTCATATAGATAACTGCGATTATGCACTTTTCAGGACTCTCCAAGGTTAGGATCTTGTAATACCCAAGCTCCGACGTGACGCACCGACTGTGATGACGTCATACTAACAGTAGCTCCAAGATGCATCTAATCGTGCTCAAGAGTTGCCCGTTTTGCATATCAAACCAATTTAAGGCGCTCTGGCGTTCCTAACGCGGCTATGACGAAAGTCACAAACAACGGCGCGGCACTTCGTGGTCTTATCGTTCATTAGTCTACTTATTGTCAATGGTTGGTTGGATTTCTCCCGAACGTAATAAATTCTTACTTACATTTGTTGTAAGGAGATTTTATCGTTTCATTTTTGTCTAGGAGTGGGAGAACATTTCCCGAGCGGTACTAGAACTCGCCACCTCAATAATTAGGGATGGATGGATGGTCGGGTGGTCGGATGGTTGGATGGACGGATGG